CAGCAGGTAAATAAAGGCTTGCTTGTGTTTTATCCTGCTGTACGCTTGACCAGCTAGAGTGACGTCTGTTCAGATTGTTCCCTTGCACCAGAGGGAAATCTGCATCTTTTCCCATCACTGCCCTTCCTCTGGTGTAATTATGTTGCCCACTGTGAACCCAAATGCTAGTGAAGCCTACATCTGCTCTGTCTATTCCTGCAGTCCGACAGGCGAAAGACTGGGATGTCTGTCTGCTAGCATGTTTATACAATCAGTGTCATTCTCTTCTCTTGCAGCTATGAGCCGGAATTGTTTCCTGGCTTAATCTACAGAATGATCAAGCCAAGAATTGTGCTACTCATTTTTGTTTCTGGAAAAGTGGTTTTAACTGGTAAGTCAAGACAGTATCTTATTCCAGTAGGTTAGATTTAGAGTGTATTACACAGAACACACAATGGTATCAAAAGCATGCATCTTGCTAGTTGCTTTCCTTTAGAGGGGACAGTACTGAGAAAGAGCAGATTCTACAGTGCTCTACAGAAGAGAACCCAGAAAGCAAACCAAACATACTTGGGTAAATCCGTATAAGCAGTGATCATGAGGCCTAATCAAGTTTACAGGTACCCCAAAAGCTGTAGGAGCACAGATTTAACTTCTCTGGCAAAATCCGAAGGTGTGGTTCTGCGTGCTAGGTAGATGCGACTGGGCTAGCTGATCTTTGACAGCTTGGCTGGAGACTGCTGCCATTCTCCTGGGATGCAGCAGCCAAGAAAGGGGAGACACTCGCCCTCGGGCGTTCCAAGCACACCCTTCCTTTCTCCCCTTGTAGGAAGAAACAAAAAAAAAAAAAAAAAAAAGCAAGACTTGCATACAAAAGGACCTTGTCCCTGCACCATGTCAGGTGGCACACCTCTGAAACTGCCTCTGTTTCCAGACCTTGTGCCCAGTGGCCACGCTCTTGAAAAAAAGCTCCACAGGTCAAAGGCCTTTCTTTGGAAACATCCTGTGGGGCTAGGCTTTGTAGTTGCGTCTCGTCAAGAACTTACGTATAGGACCATCTCATTTGCAAGGCTGACACAGACACCAAGATGCTAATCAAAGTCCTGTTCAAAGGTTATCAGAGTAAATACAGTGAGAAGGCTGATAATATATGGTTTACACAAAACGTGTAGAAATGTATCAATTGTTAAGAACAGCCATTCATATATATAATATATACATGCATAGGATTTATGTAAATGGGAAGCATTCAGGTAAACATTATAAATGCTAAAATTAAGTATTTGACTCTGAAGAAAGATGCAGCATAATTTCACTTGCTTTTTCTAGGTGCTAAAGTCCGAGCAGAAATCTATGAAGCATTTGAAAACATCTATCCAATTTTAAAGGGATTTAGAAAAACAACGTAACAGTTTCTATGAATTTCAGAGAAATTGGGGGTACATTTTAAAAGGTATTGTGGATGGCACAGCAGTAACAAGAGATGGACTTTCAGAAACTACAACACCAGGACTTGGACTGTTTCCCAGTTAGTGCCTATTTCCCTGATACTCGAGGGGAATTGTATTATTGATTATGTCTACTGAGTTACTGTGAGTTGCTTCATTGGGCTGTTTGGGTAGCAGTCCCTCCAAGTTTTATTTATATTCTAGCTTTTAAATAGTTTTAACACCAGTTTTATTAATAGAAAATCCGTAAGTTGGTTTGAAAGACAAATACAACCATGTCACTCAGTGTATAAACCACTTAAATTGCCATGTATATATGTTTTACCTTCCTTCCGTAAATCCATGGGTTTTTTTAATTTTCAGAACTTAAGCTTTTAAATGTTTTCAATTTCAGTTTTTCTTGGTGTGAGACACATTCCCTCTTTCCAGTGTTAAGCAAGACAGAATAAATTTATTAATGAAAATGGTTCACTGTACATATAATATATATATATATATTCTTCCTCTTCCTCCCTTCAGCCCCACATGTACAATAAACCCTGTTTATACAAGTATGGGAACTGTCTGAATGGATTTTAAAATTACCTAGCTGGCAGAGTGAAATACATTGAAAACTTTTTTTATTTGATCCAGGCTTTTCAATAGCACATGCACTACTGTAAATGACTTGTCATCTTCTGAGAAAGCCTTAATGTTCTGGCTTGCTTACCAGCAGTCACGTCCTTGGCAACATCTAGCTTGAGTATTTCTAGTATGTTAAAGCAAAGGAGATTACAGTATAAAGAAGTTTGTGTTCAACTGCTTGTTGCTTCACCTTCAAGAGATGGGATTTATGCAAGTCATAAATGGCTGTGTTTGACTGAATCGGAACAAGAGACTTTTGCTTAGCTTTTAGGATTTCTTTAAAGTACTCCTTTTGTATTTTACAAACTATGACAGTCTCACTATATTAGTGTTGCTGTAAAATGTCAACCCCCTTCCGAATGGTCAGTATGTACGTAATCTTCCCTTTGGACTGTGCTTGAAGCTTTAACAGGCTGAGAACGAAAAATAAACTTTTTCCTCCAGTGCACTTCCAGTAATAGTGACCTTTCTATGACTTCCAGATTCTTTCAAACAGCTTTTACCTAAAACTAACCCAAACGTAACCACGGTCTCTGTAGTTAACTTGTGTTTCATCCCCGACAAGATGACGCGACGGCTGGCTTTGCACCCCCTCCATTTGCCAATCCTGACGGAACTTAGTTCTTACAGTCTCCTCTGCTTCCCTGCAGTGGCGTACAATTGTGTCTCTAGGCTTTTTAACAATTGGTTTCACTGATCTTACCAGGAAGGTGGTGTTTAATACTGTACCGTTGTCAGGATAAGTTCAAGATACCAAAGATGATGTAGTTAGTATTCAGGTGCCACACCACTTTGCGCTGTTTGAGTCAGTGAATGTTCCAGAATGCTCTTGAACATGACAACTGGATCCCTGTCCCTGCTTTTGTAAGTCTCCGAATGTACAACTGTTACCAACCAGTCTGCAAAATTTTGCAAACTCGGCCAGGAAATCTTTGACCCTTAAGTAACTGAGGGATTGTTTTCATTAAAATCAATTGAGTTGTAGTAGCGGTACATGCTGTTGCCCAGTCTGTTAAATGCACCACGTGTTAAAACCACCCTTTCAGAAATTAAGGTCTAAGATAACAAGACTGCTTATACTGAAAGCATATCCTGCCTTTTCACTGGACTATTTCCACCATCTACAGTGGTGGAAATAAAACAACCTCAAAGTCATAACAGAAACAGTCATAAAAGAAAACAACAGTGGGCCTAGGGTTACATAAAATCAGCACTGGAATCATTGGTGAGCAGGCATAAGTGTTTTAAGCAGGGTAAGAGAATAAGTCACTGAAGTAAATACTACGCTGAGACAAAAAAAAAAAGAGCTTGATCTTTTCAACCGAGTAGCTATAGCCGTAAGAATAGTTAAGCAACCATCACAGTAAATTCAGTACGGTGGTTTTATTTTTCTCTTGCCTCGGCTCTATGGCAGTCAAATATCAGAGCAAGCCCTGCACAGGACAGTAGTTTTAAAATTTCACCGATGATGAAGGACTTCAGGTACGGTTCAGCTTGAAAATCTGTAGCTACAAGTAATAAGCAACAAAAACCCCCCCCATGTTCCGCTATAGCAGCCTTGGTTTAAACTACTTCTGCATCAGACAGTCCAATGCAGAAGCTGATGGTTAAAACTCTGTTATTGGTCCTAAGTCAGATAAAACACTTACTTAAAAGAACAATTTTGGTGCCTTTTATCCTGAATTACCACTGAACCACAGAATGTAATAGCTACTACCAGTTTACTCAGTGTACCTTTTGAAAAAGGGTAGTAGATTTAAGTTACATACTGCAAGGTTAAGCAGCCTTAATTTGTGTCAGCTAGGACTTCTGCACACCTCCTGAGCATAAGCCCTCAAGGATCTTTCTTACAGTAATCTGCTTTCTCTGTGAATTAACTTTTGAGCAGCATAAAGAAAACCTTGACAGACAACAGTTTAAGTTCTGAAAGTCCAGTCACTGACGAAGGACACTTTTACCAATCCAAAAGTGTTTCATCTTTATTTAAACATTCAAAACTGCTATGTGATGCAAGATTTGATGTGAAATTTACTGAACAAAAGCACCTGCTTTCAGTAGCAGGCTGAAGTAAGACGCTCCACCGGAGCGCAAGAAAGCACCGGCCAAGATTACTGTTTTCAGTAGTTTTATCGTCGTTACAAGATAGGTAAGATATCCGTGACATCAGTTCAATTACCTGTTTGCAAAGCACAGACGCACTGAAACAAGGGAAGTATTAGATTTAGATAATTCAATTTAGTAACATGATGGAAGTTACAGAGAGACTGCAGAGAAATCTTGTTTCCATATGAACTCCTCAGTGTACTGATTCCCCTCATTACAGTTATCCGCACAGGTGTACACCACCAGCGTTCCCCAGTCAATGCTCTCTCCAAGGCTATCGACCTTTAGGTGGTTCAGGAGCTGTGGCATAATCTTCAAAGAAAAACAACAGTTTAGAGGCTGGCCACAGCTAACTCCCTACTTTCTCACTGTTTCTCTTTCCTTAAGGTAAGTCCTGCCTTCATTTATGGACTCTCATACCAATATCCTAGTCAAAACTTACTAAATAACACAGCAGTTCAAACTAAATATATTTGGATTCCCTCAGACATTGTAGTCGATACACAAGAAATCAAATGCATGGCTCTGCTTAATTTAAGGAGCAATGAACAGCTTCAGTAAAAGCACACGTCTATTTTTAAAGCATTCTCCCAGAAGTTCCATTTGACTAAGTGTTGTCTGATTTATGAGCAAACCTTTTTCTATTTGAAAATATCTTTGTAACTACATTTTTTTTTTTATCTTTTCATGACATGAAACGTATTCCCTATACGGACGCTTCTAGCGTCCCAAATTCTACACCTGAATACTTCCAGCTAGGCATATTTCAAATTCACATCCTGAAATGTTTTTCTTCTTTAAAAGAAACAGTACCAAATTCCTATTACTTACAAGATGGTTCCATAGCCACAATTGCACCATTTTTTGGACCACACAAATTATCAGGATCGAAACCTACTTTCTATATGTGAAAGTCCTAAAAGAAAGAGCAGTTATACTAGTAAATAAGGTCTCTATACAATTTAGTGTCATCATTATGTGGCATCTTTAACTATCTCGCTGTAATTATAGGCCAGTATCTATAAAATTAGAACCTGTTAAGTTTGAACCACAGTACCTATATTATCTTTAGATGAATTTACATACCTGGAATTCAAATATCCTTTTGGCACCACACGAGCAATTGGGGACATCTTTCTCTTCAGGAATATTTTCACCTGATACCCAGATGGGGCCTTCTCCTCCCCTGCAGTATCTAATAATCTGAAATGGAGCAGGAGTTTAAGTTCTCAAGACTGTCTTTTCATCTTGGTATAAAATTGGTATTTACTGACATACACAAAGCTGTAAGATGGATGCAGACAAAAGTCGGTTCTTCCCCATGGCCTAAACGCAAGGGGACTGTCTTAATGCCCAAGATGAAGGTATCTTCAGACGTTCATATCCTTTGTTGTTTGGTTACTATTTCAATATATATATGGAAAATGAGGCATTAACAACAGGACACTGGTGGAGGTCAGCTGGTACATGGATCATCAGAGGCAGGGGATGCACCTACCCAAGCAGAGGAGTGAACAGAAAGTCTCCTGCTTTCCAAATGGTCACCCTAATCCCTGAGCTACCAGGGCAAGAATCTCTTTTTTTCTCCACCAGTTTTGTGGATCTAGGCCTCTATTTTCTCTGACAGTACTTTTTTTTTGGCCTTTTGTGGTGGCAAGAAATAGTGGGAACATTCTGTTTTAGATAGTTGAACATTTAAACCCATCACTCAGTCAACCTTACAAAAGCCAAACCAACCCCCATGCAACTGGTGAGAGTGACTCGGCTCTTCTTTGCAGTTTTGGTTCTGGTGAGAAGGAAAGCCAACAAGGCCAAAGGCCAGGGTACCCAAAAAGGTGGCAGAAGGAGAGCGATACTTCCTCTTCTCCTTTTGCTAGGACCACTTGACTGGACAGCACATGCTCCCCTGGTGTTGGCTTTAATGCCCCTGTGCCTGGTCATCCTGACCACTTTCTGTCCGAGTTAGATGAGCAGGTGCTAAATTCTTACTTCATTGAGAATCAGGTTCTGCATCTAAAGAATGGTAGCATATATTGATTAAAGCATGCAGAGGATGATGAGGTATCCCCACCGCCGTTTCTAACTGTGGGTATATAGGGCACTGAAACATTTTTCAGATGCAGCCAAATGCTGCATCAGAACACGTAAGTTCTGCAGATTGCCCTGTCTTCTGACCTGCTCTGGTTCTGCAGCTATTCGCTCCTTAAACTTTTGGAAAATCTCGTCGTCTTCAGTCTCATGTTTTGCCATTGCTTCCAATGTCTCTTCATCTAAGGATTCCAACGTTTCACCTAAGCAAGGAAAAGCCCCTGAAAGATTACCGGTTAACAAAAGATGGCTGCAAATTAAGCAATAGTATTGTATCTGTAAGTGCACTTTGCCCTCGAGAATCATTCCCAGGGTAAAACACTCAAATAAAAAAAATTTCAAAACATCAAAGATATTTTCTCTTCTTTGCGGAAAATGTTAAGATCGGTCATGCCCACATCCACTTGTTAGTTTTTGCAGCATTTTGAACATAGATTTTAATCCCGTAATGTTAAAAAGGGAGAGAGAGGAGTCAATTTACCAAAGTTTATGGCCTTCCAGTGGGGATCAGTGAGATCGCTGAACCTTCTGAACCTGTCACCTTTAGGCCACCTGGGCTGTGTGCGCCAGAGTAAGTTTCCATCACTGAAAGGCTTATCTGTTATAGCTCTGCCACAGCACTCCCCAGCTCACATCCTTGTGGAGCACTGAGCAGTCTCTAGACAGCTTTAAACCTCAGTAAGATTCAGTTGGGAGCCAAGCAGCTTTCCCTGTAACACCACACACTCCTACACCCTGGCTCTGTGCAAAGCCTCAGTGGTGGGGAGCTGAAAATACATGATTTTTTTTTTTTTTTTTTTTTTTTTTAGGGAAAGGGCCTACACTTCAACTTCTTAAGGTTAATTAAGGTCTCCTCAAAGCAGTCGTCTTCCAGCACAGATAGGGAGGCTTGTTAAATATTTTTCATAAAGTTTAACCAGATGAAGCCGAACCCATTTAATTAACTCAGTCTCCTGTCTCCAACAGTGGCCAGAAGCAGAGACACGCATGGCCCTATTTTTCTCACTCGAGGAAAGAACGCAATGATACAGCATGTTCCCAGCTATCTGCAGCTGGACCGCAGCAACAACTGCTCTGGCAGCTCTGAGGGGCTGGGGGGAGCCATTAGGGGAGTCTGCCTACGACTCCACCTGATCGCTGCTAAACCAATACTTCTGACCTCCACAGGACTGTAATACAACAGCTGCAGCACTCGTTATTACATCTTGTATGAAAAACACATTTGTTTTAAACCTGCTGAGACTTTATGTTTCCTAGTTCTTGTGTTGAGAAAGAGTAAATAATAAAAGTAACCTCACCAAATAAAACCCACAGCCCAACAGACGGCAGGAGAATTTGGTGCTACCAATTCCGAACAGTAAATTCAAGACTATGAAACCAGTCACTCTTTTACCCATTGCTCAGCAAGTCTCTCCCTCAAAAGCAACTTATATTATGGGATACCTACAAAAGACTCGTGCAAGACAGCAGCACATAACAAGCTCGAGTTAACAGAAATAGCTTGGCTATGGAAGCTGATTTTTGCTTGCATCACAGATGACCACAGGTTAGCCTTTTATCACAGGCAGTTTACAATGAACCCTTCAAAATAACACAACGTTTTACATTTTACATTTTACTGATGCAATATAGGCTGCACCAGGGAGAATTTCAGACATCCTCATTTATTTCTTACTTGCACTGCTTGTAGCTGTGAGTTCCTCTTGTTTTTCTGGGCTCTCTAATGTATCTGCAGCTGCTTCTTCGTCATTAGGATCTACACTGCTATCAGCAGGAGATTCTGGTTCCTCAGGTTCTATCAAAATTTCATATTCTGGAAAAAGGAATTCATTATGGTCTGGAACGGCATCCTCCACATCATCTGCAAAAACAGAAAGTAGATACTGTTTCCCAATGTCATTCCATATTTCCTGCTCTTCTCCCAGAAGTAGCTACTTAAAAATACAGCACCGACATTGCAAGAGCAAAAAGGATTTACATCACTGCAAAGAGAGATCTCATCTTAAAGTAAAAGGAAGCAGATTTTGTTTAAGCTACAGTAGAAAACTACAATAGGTGACAAGTTGCTGTCAACCTTTGTAAATCTACATGACACAGATGACAGACTGAACAGTGTTAGGAGCTGCGTTTGAGAAAAATAAATGCAGTTTTACAGCTCTGTACGTACCGCATTCTAACTAGCATATTCACAGAAGTCAAGCATGCAGCCAATGCCTTGCAGTCATATTATTCTTCTTTTTCCTTCGTATTTTGAAAACATATTTTTTAAAAATGCATCAAGTGTACCTTCTATAAGAACGAGGGAATAACTAAACGTTATATGTTTGAAGTTTTCACTGTTTAAATGAAATGTTTCAAACACCTGACCCATAATTTAATTTGCCTAATTCCAGTTTTTACCTACTGCTTATTTCCACTTCTCATAATTAAAGTTTTAGGGACTAGCATCCTGCAATCTATAAACAGAGACACCTTACACACCAAATTTCATCACACCACTACTAACCTGATACTTCTAAAGCCAAAAAAGAACTTTCAATAAAACCATGAACTGCAGCAGCTACCTAGCTGTAAGCGTTCAATACTTACTCCTTTAACTACTAGCAAACAAACAAGTATGAAAATAACAGAGTGGGAGAGGGGATGGCTTAAAGGACTCAAATAGCATACTTGTAAAAGGGACTTTTCTCATCTACTGACCTTTATAGCATCCTTTTAGGCATCACCTTTGCATACTGCTTTACAGTTTATGAATAAGCCATCTTAAAAGTGACCTGCGAAGGGAAAAAATAAGTTTATGTCCTTTAAGCTTTTTATGATATAAGAAGGCCAGAATGAGGTCTTTGAAAGAAATGAAAGGTATGCTCTAAAGTTATTAGCCTTCCAGGAAGAACAAACATGCCAAACTCTTATGCTGCTGAAGTAAAATTCTGACAGAAGAAAAGCTTCTGAAAGATTCATTCATGGTTTCTTTGCAAATCAGAAAACAACGTAAAAGACATAAGCTTCTTTTTTCTTTCCTTTGCAGGCCCTTACAGTATCAGTAACTAACGAATTTTGGCACGCTGAGAGAACCAGCAGCTTTGCAACAGCAACGTTTCTTAAAGAACGCCGTGCAAACAGCAGGCGCAACAAGCGCAGGGCGATGCAGCGAGCAGAAGCCTTCCGTTTAATGCTGCGGCTAAACTTCCCATCTATGCTCTTATCGCTTGACCCCGAATCCAGTTTCTAGCTTAGTCCCCTCGGCAAAGGGCCCCCCCACCGCCCTCCTCCTCCTCCTCCTCCTCCTCTTCCAAGTCCAGCCCCTTCCTCTCCTCTTCCCCCCCTCGGCGCTGGCAGCCGCCTCCTGCGGCTCCTAAATCC